GGTCCAGTTCTGCTGCTTCTTGCTAATTTTTTGTCTACTTGACCTATCATTTTGGATAAAAGAGGTATTAAGGTCTCCTGTTAAGATTGTGGTATTAGATAATTAGATTTCACATGTCCATTAAGATTTGTCTTATATAGTTGGGTGCTCCTGTGTTTGGTGCATACATATTTATGATTGTTACCTATTCCTGTTGTATTTTTCCCCTTAAAAGTATATAGTGACCTTCTTTAATTCATTTCCTCATTATTTGTTTGAAGTTCAGACTGTCTGCAAACAGGATTGACACCCCTGCTTTTTTCTGAGATGCTGGGGCATTGCCTATGAATTTCTGTATAAGTTATGTTTGTTTCTTGTATACAGCATATTGTTAGATTTTACTTACTAATCACTTATGCCAGTCTACTTTTTTAACTGGTGAATTGAATCTGTTTACATTGATGGTTATAATTGAGATGTATTGGCTTATAATTGACATGTTGTTTACCTGCTGTTGTACATCCTTTTTCTCCTGTGTTTAATTGATTGCCATATTTGGTGGGTTCTTTCCATTCTCATTCATGGAGCTGTGATCATTTTTGTCCCCCTGTGGAATATCTTTTTGTAGTCTGTGTAGTGTTGGCTTTATCATCATGAAATTCTTTAGTAGTTCTTTGTCATGGAAGTATTTCACTTCTCCATCAAATTTGAAAGGGAGTTTTTCAGGGTATAGCAGTTTGGGCTGGAATTTATTTTCTTTGAGGAATTGAAGTACTTTGGTCCATGCTCTTCTTGACTTCATGATTTGTGAAGAGAAATCTGCCATTAGTCTGATGGATTTTCCTTTAAATGTGATCTGTTTCTTTTCTCTATGAGCATTTAGTATATTGTTCTTGTCCTGGATTTCTGGAATTTTGATTATTATATGTCTGAGTGTGGTTTTAATTGGGTTGATCTTATTTGGAGTTCTATATGTTTCATTACCTGAATGTCACATTGTTTCCCCATATTTGGGAAGTTTTCTGCCATTACTTCTGTCCATATTCTTTTTATATCATTTGTATTGACTCCTTCTTTCTCACTGATGCCTATTAGTCTTATGTTGTTCATCTTTGTATCATCTTGCACATGTTGCATTATGTTTTTCCTGCATCCTAGTTGTTTTTAAGAGATCCTTTCTTAATTTTTCACTAGCTGCAACGGTGTCTTCAAGGTCTGAAATTCTATCTTCATTTTCATTCAAATGGTTTTGGCAGTTTATGATTGAAGTTTTAGATTCCTGTATATCTCTTTAAATCTGCTTCATGCATTCTATTTCTTTCCTATATTGCTCATTCAAGGATTCCATCATTTTTCTATTCTCTATTTTTTAATCAGCAACTTCTTTAGACACACTTAGTAATTTTTTCATTATAGTCATCATTTCTTTTTTTACTTTAGAAATTATTTCTAATCTGATTTCCTCTATACATTTTTGCCATTGTTTCTTCACTTCAGATGCTATTATTCAGAGATTTCAGGTATGTGACTTCGAATTTATTCTATGCTAGTGTCTCTTGCATTTGTTCTGGGTGGGCTCGGGTCCTAAGAATGCATTTTGCTCCTTCTCTTTGTCATTTTGTATAGCATTGTCCTCTGACCTTTGTTGTACAGCTTTGATGCAGTTATTATCTTAGCCACTACTGATATTCTTTCCCAAGAGATATTATGTGGTTAAGTCAGTTATGTTTTTTATTTACAGAACAACAATTAGTAACACTAATAATTGGTGGTGGTATTCATCAGTTGGAAAACTTTTGTAAGTAATGAGTCTGTATTTTAGACCATAAGAGCAAGTATTATGTCTGTGTAGCTGAGAAGATATTAAATGGGGAATTTGTATTTAAATTAGTTCCCTTAAGTTCTGTATGATCACCTCACTTTAGTGTACCTGGGTCTTCCAGACAGACTGGTTCACCCCAGTTACCTGTTGCACACTCTCTCAATCAAGAGAGAATGCTTGCATAGATCAGGTTCTAGCAAAATGTTTCAGCTTACCTGGTCCAGGTGTATCAGTTCAAACTCATCGAGAGGTGCCTGGCTTTGATCTGGCTATTTTGCTCCACTTCTTCTTGCTGCAATCCATGGAATTAAATCTGCTGTGCCTCCCTGGCAAGATGTTCAGCTCCTAGGCTCTCTGCAGGGAGTTCTACCACAGGGTTCCACAGGAGGCCTCTCTGCTGCAGGAGGTTGTGGTGAGTGCACGGATGGTCCCACATACAAGCTGGAAAGAGATCTGGGGAGTGGGCTAGTGGGCTTCCACACACAAGCTCAACCTGGGCTCTGGTTGGAAAGGGATCTTGTAAGCATGCAGAGCATCCAACATGCATGCCAGGTCAGGGCTCCAGCTGGAATAGGGTCCCAAAATGGGCAAGTAGCTTTTCTTCTACATTTCCAAGCTTCACAAGTAGCTTGATCAACTTAGCTCTTTTTACCAGACTCCATAGTTAAGATGCTTGAACTGGCTATTTATAATAGTTAATTACTTCATTTTGTGATTTGTTGGGTTCTGCTTTATAGCCTAGAGTATGGTCTCAGCTTTGTAAATACTCCATGTATGTCCTAAAATTTTTTTTTGTTCTTTTGGTTTTTTTTTTTTCTTTTATTCTTACCTTGTTTTCTTTGCAGTTTTTTTGCTTCCGTTTGGGCAAAAAAGTTTCAGCATTAGTCAGTAAGAGGCACAGCAAAGGGCTAATTCTGTAGAAATTTAAATTACTCATTGAAAGAGTAGAGTGTGGGCCCTGGAGAAAGAAATGAGGTAGGGGAGACAGACAGACAGACAGACAGACAGACAGACAGACAGACAGACCGACCATGAACTTAGTGCAGTATAGTCCTGGGGATATTGATGTGTTTTTTGGTAGTGGAAATGACATAGGGATGTGAAACTCCCAAGATGAAAGATATCTGGGATGAGTTTATATTCTCTAAAAGCAAAGAATGAATTTTAGGAACAACAGGATATACTTATTAAGGGAAAGAAAGATTCTGTCTAGGAGAGGGATAGAAGGGGATCTGACTGGGTTTCCCAGGAATCTGTCTTTTTTAGGAATTTTTATAGAGCAACATCATGAGGTGAGGTTGGTCTAAGGTAGAAAACATGGAAACTTGAAAGGTGGTTATGAAATGGGGCAAAACTATGGTCCAGCAATAAGATTAATTATTTGAGTAAGATTTATTAAATTGAGATCAAATGAGCAAGCAAGCATGAATATAGAATGGGGACTCTTCCTGTGGAGTTGGGTTAGTAACTCTTCCTGGCTTCCCAAGGTGATTAATACCTATGTAGAATATCAATCCCAGATGCCCATCCCTAGGGAGGTATGTGGCTGCATTTGTTCAGTCTTTTGTCTTGAGGCCTGGCCCACAGTAGAAATGTCTGTCTATCTCTCATTTGTGTTCCATACTGGTTCCTTCAAGGCCTTGCCCAGTCTGACTACCTATAATATTTCTGTGTAGCTCAGCTGCCTGCAACAGAAATTTGAGGAATTTGTGAATCTGTAGGAAGTTTTGGTTAGGCATTTGGAAAACCATAGCTCACCCAAAGAAAGAAATAGCTTATTTATAGGAACCTGCCTATTTCGTAGGTGAGAAGACATAATCTGTTCACAGCAGAAAGAATTCCATCTTCAAGTAAAAATAAAATGATTGAATCTATTCATAAGTGAAAGAGAATGGTAAAAGTTTATTCCGGAAGAAAAGAAAGAAAGAAAAAATAACTGAGCTTTTATCCTGAAGCTCCAGTTTTCATTTTTAATTATTCTTTCTTTTTTCTTCCCATCTTTATTTCTTCTACCTTATGTTATACATGTAATAATTGGTTAATTACAAACCATACTCTTCATACTTATAAATTTTGAGTGCTTGTCTTAGCAGTAACTAAGAAAGATTATGTTTGAAAATACTTTACTACAATGGTGATGGTGAAATTTGTAATTTTACAGTCTTTCAATTTTAGCTTTATAATTTTAGAAGCTGTATTATGTAGTGAATACAAATTTAGAATATTTGTATCTTTCTTGTAAATTGAAGCCTTTGTCATTATGAAGTGTCCCTCCTTACCTCTAGTAATGCTTATTGCCTTAGAGTATATATTTTTATTAATGTTAAAGATTTCATGTTATCTTTGGGATTGTGTTGACATGGGATATTTAGTGCTCAATTTTCTGTTATCATTATATACTTTTATATGCATTAGTATTGAGGCCAGGAGATAGACAAGGATAGGGATCTGGGTAAACCAAAATAAGCCCTGGGAAAACTGGAAAACAAAGGAAAGAAGTTCATTGAGTTCTGACTTGGGAAGCTAGAGGACATCTGTTCTGCTGACATCAGAAGCTTACTTAAAGATGGTGGCCCCATTGTTTAAAAGTGCATGGGTCTAGGTGAACTGAGATAAGCCTTTGGAAATTGGGGTGTGAGGTAAGACTTTATAACATCAGAGGCCCAGCTAAACACGGAACCCACATTGTTTCATTTTCACACACCCACCAAGGTAGCCCAAGAAGGAACACATAAACCTCTGAAGGTGAGTGCATTCTCAGTGTCTTCCCTTGGTGTCCTTTCTAGCTAGCAAGAGCTCTTCTTTGCTTTCTTTAATAAGCCACTCTTTGTGTAGCCCTCATTTTATGTATACATTGACTTCATTTTTCATCATCCTTAGGAGAGGAGCCCAGAGAGAAAGCTGGTAATAGTATAGTTTTAAAGATATACAGATCTATAATCTTTTAATTGAGGATCTAAATTTATAGATTGGAAAATAATTTTACCTAAGAAAATAATATACTGGAGGCAGATTACAAAATAATAATTCAAGCCACCATCTAAGCAGAGCAGTGAAAATGGAAAAAAATATTTTCCTGAATTTCGGTTTACTCATATAGATGTTGCTGATGTTGAAAAAGTTCTACCAAGCATAGAAGTAGAAAGTCCTTAGGAAGTTTGTCAGTTCTTATATAAAGAATTTGTTTTTTCTTTCCTAGAGTGAATGCTACTATCAAGGATACATCAAAGAATATCCATATTCTATTGTCACACTCAGCACATGCTCTGGATTGAGGTTGTTTTTTATTGTTAATTAGAGAATATTTGTCTGCAGTGAATCTCTTCTGTTTATATTAAGTGTGAGGCTAAAGGAAGACTTTTACTTGAAATTAAGTTTTTGCAAAGGATATCCTCCTCTGAACTCATTTCTCCTGCTTTTATTTCTTCTACCTTTCCTTACTCATGAGACTATTGTAATTCCCTGAATTTTGGGCTGCTTAGTCTCCTTGCCCTGCTTCTTATTTTTCTTAATCATGGAAATGACAATTGAATATATTTGATTGTTGTAAGTTGGAGGAGATAAATTTAGAGTGGATGAATGATCAGTGAATAGATTATTTATAAAAACTACTCTATGTTTCAGTGTTGAGAAAGATAGATAAAGATAAAGCAGCCTTGCTTTTTATCAAGGAAATAATCTGCATTATGAGGTGGCAAGTTATATATAAGTGAATAATTATTAGTATCACACATATTTTTAATAACATCACTCTCACACTCTTCAAGAATGTTGTTTCCTTTTTTTCTGATTTAGAGGAGCTTCCATTCTGTCAGAAAATTCTCCATGTTTGTTTTGTAATGTGGCACCCTTATATTTACAAATATTTTTCAATTCCTCCTTCATAAAATTCTGAATTTTTTTCTTATTCTCACTTAAACTGTTACCTAAATTCAAAAAAGGATAGTTATACAAGTTGTTAGAAATCTTGTTTTGATTACTTATTTAGACCATATAGCAATATAAAATGAATACGTTTCATTACGTATTTAACAATAAATTTTATATTTATGAATAAAATTGTTCTTTTACTCTTTTAGTATATATGCATCTCTTGTAGTAATTATTCAAAAACATTTCCAATTAGAAAAAAAATCATCAAGATTTCTGTGTGCTAACAATTTAATTTGTCACTGACGTGGATAATGGGAGATCATTTCTATGCTTTAATACTATGCTCCTTGTAAATTAATTAGGTGTTTTCTGCTTCCTTTCTAACTATAAAAATTAATATGCAAAGTTGGTGTTGTGGATTAGAGAAATTATGTTTCCCAAAATTTATCCCTAGCACAAAACATAGAGCAAAATATTGGAATCAAAATGTACCATATCTTCACTATATTTTTCTTTTATGGATTATGTCAATCTCATAATATAAATTTAATTAATAACACTTGAGTTTTTCCTCAATTTTACAGAGGAATATTGCAGTTTGAAAATGTTTCTTATGGAATTGAACCTCTGGATTCTTCATCTGAATTTCAGCATATTCTTTATCAGTTGGGGAATGAAAACAGTGAGCATGCAATTTTTACTCAAAATAGCAGAAGCATGGAAAAATACCCGGTGGACTATAACATTTTTATAAGTGAGAAAGTGAGTTGTGTATGTTTTATTACTATTTTCAAAGTAATTATTGCTTTTATTTATAAATATATTAGCCTGTTGAGCACTGTTATCAAATATTATCATTTTTGGTACCGTCTTTTATTAATCTAATATTTCCTGGATACCATCCTTTACTTTTCTCTTCCATCTTCTTGTAAGTCACTGTAGTTTAGTTCTATTTGTTACACCTCATAATAAGCATTGCTTCTCCCTTTGGATGAACAGCTAACTAGTATCTATAAATTCTGGGTTTTGTGTAACTTCTGCCTGCCTGTTTCTATATCTCCTCTGAATTGAATTTTTAATGGCCGTATCCTCTTAATCTTTCTCCTTTTCTGTAGCTGCTGTGTGGGTGTATTGATATGTCGTAGCTTACAAGGATGAGAATGAGAATTCTTTTGCAAGGAGCAATATATATATAGATTTTAAGGTTGCAATCTAAGGCATTAAGCAAAGAAACTGAGTGAAAAGAGAATCCTAGAAACATAATCACTTTAATACCTTAGAATTCCTGAGAAAAAAAAATTATTCAATGATGTTTAAGTACTGGGGAATGAATTTAGGGCCTTTGATGTCCTAAATCCCCACTATGCATAGTTTTACTTTGAGAAGATTCTTGATTCCATGTGTGAGTGAGAACATGTGGTACTTATCTTTCTGTGCCTGGCTTGTTTCTCTGAAGTTAACTATCCACAGTGCCATGATTCCATTTAAGTTACAAGTGATATGATTTCACTTTTTTGTTTGTTTCCTTTGGCTTTACCAGGGACACAACCCAATACCTTTGCATTCAGCTGCATCCCCAGACTTTTAAAAGTATTTTAAAATTTGAAACAGGGTTATGCTAAATCTTCACCTTCCAGATCTGGGCTCAAACTTGTGATCACCATTTTTTATCATCCCAGAATACTGAGATTATAGGCATGTACCATTCTACCTGGACCAGGATTATAATATTTTAATGGATTAGTAACATTCCATTGTATTTGTCTGCTACATCTGTTCACTAGGAGATAAGTATTTAAGTTGCTTTAATTTCTTGCCTTAAATATAAGTACATTTTATAAATTAGAACTAAAATCCTCTTGTAATGGCAGATAATGAGAAACACCCATGGGTGCAGAGAGGTTACAAGCAAGTTTTATTCAGGTGCCAGATAGTGATCAGTGAATGCCAAAGCATACGGGGTTTTGTTATCTGGGGTGTTTACATATTAACATGTTCACTCAGTTACCACAGCAATTACATTAGTTAGCTTTTGGAAATTCACAAGAATTTGCACAGGTTTAGGAGCCTGCCAGTCACAAGATTTACATTTCTAGGTGCCCAATATCAGGCAAAATTTGGTTAATCTTAGCTCATCCACAGTTTATTTTATCTATCTGTTCCTCTAGATAATCAGCTGTTCCTCCCTTTAGAGGCTTAATGGTCAATCAGCTAACATTAGGAGTGAGGAGTGGAGTTCATCTAGTGTTTAGGGGGCTCATAAGGTGAGGGTAGAAATAAAATGAAGTCCTTTATTTTCAAATTCTATAAATGTAAGAAGAAAAATATGAAGAAATTGCAGATTGGACTGTCATAAATTGAAAAAGAAATGAAGAAGCCTGAATAAATTAAAAGGAATCTAGATAATGAAAGAGAAGTGTTATCAAAATAAGCAGAAAAAACACTTGCTTGGGGCTGGGGAGATGGCTTAGTGGAATAGACATTTTATATACAATGGAGCACTTCTCTGCCACAAGCCAGGGTAAATTTGGGTCATTTGTGGGAAATAGATGCACTTCTGAGACCAAGTTTTAGTGAAATAACTCAGACACAAGTTTAAATCTTATATTGTTTTTCTTATATAAGAAAGCCAAAGTATAAACAAAGAACAAAATAAAAGATTTATGAAAATGGAGAAATAGGATAAATGGTTAGATCGAGAGTCGGTGGGCAGGTACAGAGAGAGAAAGGGAAGAGAATGAAGAAAGAATTCACATGTGTTATTTACATGAACAGCTGCTCACAAGGCAGTAATCATTATGTTCTGCAAACATGTGCAGTACTAATGCAAAATTAAAACGGAAAATCTAATAGCCAGCCTAGTTCTATTTCCAGGAAAACTTGGGTAAACATGATTCATCTTCCAGCCTTGTTCTTAATATATTTCTCCTCATTCATATCTCTGTCTTATCCCCTTTCTTTCTTAACCACACCCATCTCATATCAGGGCAAAAATCATTCCACTAAGGGGACAGTCATTTTGCTATATAACCGTATAATTTGCTTCTATAGTTAAAGGCATCAGGCCAATAACTGCCATAGTTTGACAGTAGCCAGGCTGTGCTGGTGACTGTTATTGCTAATACTACTTTAGGCTGGATGTCATACCTGTTGTAATCAGTTTTCTTCTTTATATAATAACGTTGTAGTTTTATTGGGTCATTACCATCACTGGAGTCCAGTGCTAAGCAATTTGTTACTGAGCCAAATAGTTAGCAACTTCACATCCTTAATACCTTAGGAAGGTTCTTCAGGTAGACCCAAAGACCAAGAACCACCTACATCTAGAAGACACTCTTGAGGGACAGACATTTCCTCGGGAAGCCTCAATGCTAAGGGTAGAGCTATTTACATAATAAATCTACAAGAATCAACACAGAAATCAAAGCAAAGTAAAATATAGAAAATGAGAATGCACAAAAACAAAATGCAACACCAGACCCTTAATTACTGATGAAAATGCCAGAGCACAGTAATTTTGAAATTGGAAACCAACCACTGGAACCTTCTGAAATGATAGCAGCAGAGGGGAAAAAGCAAATGGAAGAGGCTGTGCAAAAATAATCTCTAAGATGCAAAAATAATAACAAAAATGAAAAACACTAAAGCAGATAAAGACTTTAAACAAAAAATAGTAGAGTTCAGGAAAATGATGGAAACCATGAGAGCCCACCATAGGAAAGCAATGGAATCTATGAAACTAAATCAAAAATCAATCCAAGAGGTTCGAAACTTCATTAAAAGCATTTGCAACAGGTTTAATGAGAGGACAGAACAGCAGATCTAGAAGACAAGATTTCAACTAGCTATGAGGAAAGGAAACATTAAAAATATCATGAAATCATGAAAAACCAATCCAACAGATACAAGATGAAGCGAAGATTGATTGGAGTCAGGAAATTGGTGACAGCACAAAAGCCATAAAAAACTTATTTTAAAAAAAACCCTTCTTCACAAAAACAATAGCAAAAAACTTCCTAAACATGGATAAAGATCTTTACACATATCTAAATGAAGCCTATAGGAATTCAAACTGGCATGGGCAAAATAAATCTACACCAAGGCATATACTCAATGACATTACAGAAATTCAGCACAATTAAAAGTGGCTGGGCAGGCGAGATAGCTCAGTGGACTACGCACCTGCTTAGGCAGGCACAGAGGCCAGGGTTTGATCTCCAGCAACATATGCTATGACAGCACCAATCTCAGGTGCACTGAGCTGGCTATTGAGACCAGGCATGGTGGTACACACTGTAATCCCAGCACTGGGGAGGCTGAAAACAGGAAGACCACTAGCAGTCTGAGCTGCATAGTGTGACCTTGTACCAAATACATATAAATAAATAAATAAATAAATAAATAAATAGGTCTACAGAAAAGAAATCACCTATAAAAGAAAGACCATCAGAATCACAGCAGATTTCTCAAATCAAGGAGAGTTTGGACTGAGGTATTTCAAGCTCTGAAAGAAAACAATCTTCATGCCAGACTGACATAACTTGCAAAGTTACCTTTTAAAATAAATGTAGAGGGGCTGGGGAGAAGGCTCAGTGGAATAAGTGCTTTCCTGGCAAGCACAAGGGCCTGAGTTCAATCCCCAGTTCTGCCAAAAATAATAAAATAATGTAGAAATAAGATAAATGCAACTAAAAAATTCATGAACACCAAACTAATACTTCAAAGTGCTCTGAAGGATATATTAGAGAAAACAAAGGCCATAAGCAAAGGAATACCAATAGAAAGACCATGCAGCACAAGCAGGAACCAATAACAAAATAACCTGAAAAATATAAGCCAGTATATCAACAATGATCCATAAAGTATACCCATCAACATAAATGACCTCAACTCACCCATCAAAATAAACTAACAGAATTAATGAAAAAGGAAAATTCAACAATATGCTGTGCTCAAGAAATACATTTAACTCCAAAATAAATTCATAGACTGAAAGTCAAAGCATGGAAAACAATATTCCATGTCACAGGAACCTAGGGGGAAAGAAGCAAAATTAGCTATTGTATTTGCAGACAATGCAAACTTCAAGCCAAGACTGATAAAGAAAAAAGTCGAAGAAAGTTATTACATACTTGTTAAAGGAAAACTCCAAAGAGAAATAACAGTCATAAATATTTATGCACCAAATAACTAGAGCACCAAACTACATAAAACAAATTGGAACAAACATGAAATATCAAAGAAGCACTAACACTTTTGCAATGAGAAACCTTAGTATCCCACTCTCACGAGATAGATCAACTGCACAAAATATTAACAAAGAAATACCTGAACCAAACCAAACCTGTAAACAAATGGAAGTTGTAGATGTCTACAGTGTTCCACCCTACAACATCATAATGCAGATTCTTTTTAGTTGCACATTGAATATTTTCCAAAAATAGACAATATACTAGTCCTTAAAATATGATTAAGTAATTACAAAGTAATTGAAATTATCCCATGCATATTTTGTTCATATTGTAATCACATTGTAATTCAATTTCCAAAAAAACATATCAACTACATAAAAATGTGAAAATTGAACAACAGACTTTTGAAAAACAAATGAGTCACAGAGGAAATTAAATAAGACATTAAACATCTACAATCAAATGATAGTATTGATATAACATACTGAAAATTATGGGACACAAACAAATCCTACAAAGGAAATTTATAGCAATGAAGTTTCAGTTCAGGAAACCAGAATAAGGGCGAAT